ATTTTTTCTAAAGAACACACACACAATGTACACTATGTACATTGTATTTTATTATGTATGATGCACATATATATAATGTATAATATTTACGATAAAAATGTATGTTTTTCCTAATATGTAACGATTGATTTAACATAATTAAAACAATTAAATTAATTTACATACAATTATTATACATTATCAAATAATATTATTATTGTCACTCACTCGTCGGCGCATTCTCGTACGTCGATAATRCTTCCATACCGATTGGTGACGACTTCGAAACGCGGCATTTATTTAACTACGGTCTCGATCAACACGGCATTCAAAAACACTTAAATCTCCGCGTAGTACGCCAAAAAAAGCTYTYGGCTAACACAAAACCGATCGCTGTCGTTGTCGTCGTCGTCGTCCGAACATGTTCGCCGCACTAATGAACCACACGGCGCGTCCAGTTTTTTTCAGGATCAAGGGAACGACGAGTTACGTGAACAACCGACGCAACGACGGATAAATCGCTGTAGTATAGTAATATAGCGAATAAAATCGGTGTATTTTTTTTCCGCCAAGGACGTCCACTGCGGTTTGCAGAATAGCTGTCAAAACGCGGAAACTCAAGAATTTATTTTCGTCTTACACCACAGCCGGCCAGTTCGTCGTGATCGAAGTCGCGTGTATAACGTACGGAAAGCCAATGCGACTGCACACGTGTACAATACTACAAATAATATTATTATTACTACGTTACGCACAGGGAACGTCACATAAACATTGTAAGGCTGTCGTGTTACACATTATTATAACATTATTATTACGCGTGTGTAGGCACGGCGACGCGGGTGTACTCGCGACGGAGTACGAGTCGAAACTGAACCTTTAACAACATCAACATTAATAATAATAATACAATAATCTAGCGACGCGTCTGAGAGGCGAATCGCGCGTGGTTTTCAGTCTCCGTTTAGTCCGTCTCGTCCGGTCTCTCTTTTCACCGTTCCAGCGGGTCTCGCCGCGATTGACCTAATAAGGGACCGGTCACGAAGTCAGTTCCTGCTGGTCTCGTTATCGTTATTTGTTTATTTTTTCTCCCGCCGTGCTTTTAAACGCACGCGATGTGTCTAATTCACCGGACTTGCGTATCAACCTACTCGGATACAATAAGCCAGCCGTATATGGCCGGCGGAGGGGGGAGTGAGAGGGAGAAGTCAACAATGAAAGAAAAAAATGTATCTTTTCTTTGTGYACACATTATATACAGGGTGATTCTCCAAGTAAGCACAACCAATTTTTTCTTCAATAATCAGTTATTAAAAATCTAATTTTTGAAATTTTCAAATATATCTTAACACAGTGYTTTTAAATTTCAAAATTGTTTGTACTACAGATTTAAAGATCTCTATTTTAGAGGCCTGTGGTGATATTCAGTAAGAATAATCATTTTAGTAACTTAGAAACTATACTCCTTTGAATTTTGAATAAGGTACAATTTAAAAACAAAAAAAATATCCACTAAATAATTTACAGTTAAAATTAAAAAGGTAGTTTTTATTTGAAAAATAGAAGTTCATATCACCACAGGACATTCTTTAAGTAGTACGAAAAAACTCGACAATTTGAAAATATAGTCTTCAAGACTGCACACATATATTTATATAATTAAAAAAAAAAAAATTAAAATTGAATAAGTTAGTTTTTAAAGGAAAAGAAAGGTGGGTGAGCATGTTCGGTGAATCACCCTGTATTACAATATTATTAAATTATTGCAGATATGGTTTTTTTTCACGTTTCCTCGAGTTACACACTCCGGCACGCACCGCTCGAGCCACGTGGACGACGTTTTAATAGTATAAGATTATTATTATGATTGCCGGCGTGCTCGACCGATGACTTACTCCGCGGCGACCCAGTTAATGGTTACAGTACGAGGTCCTACAGATAATTTGATGCTAAAAAAAAAAAAAAATTGCGAAGCAAAAATAATAACACGGAGGACGGATGAAAATCGATGTTTGCAGATAATTGCATGGAGCTGCGATAAGAAAACATGTATAGCGATTTCATTGCGCGCAATCGTTCGTCGTCAACGCGATTCGACACGACCCAACTGTCTGCAGCAGGTATCGAGTTTCACCGAGCAGTTTCCCCTAGCAGCACGTGAACAGGAAATTTACCGACGATGGCAATGGAAACTCGATACCGACACGGAACTGAGCTTCCTATAACGGTCGCCGTTATAATATATATATATTGTGTACCTATATGGTTCGCGTTTCCGCGGGATTATACCTAAGTCCACCGCGACAGTGATGSCGTCAATTTATCAGACTAATATTATTCGCCAATATTCTATTACTATTGTAGGTGCAGCAGGTCGAGTGATATTATATTATAATTTATAATGTATTATGTATACTTATCTATACCTCCGAGAGCGGATGTATTATATGGGGTAGGTGATGAAAAAGGAACGGTGACTGGACACAATAACATGAAGTGCACCCGCACGTAAGTCATCATACTGTACAACAATTATTAATACAATTTAAAAAAAAATAATAATAACCGTAGATGACAGTATTAAGTCCGTCCAGTAATATAAAAATATACCGTAACAGGTAATTTAGAACACGACATCATATTATATTTAATATTATAAGCCAACTATAATAATTTGATATTATATAAACGATAAAAGCGTATTTATTTTTATTATTTAATAGCGTACTTTTGGGGTAGGAGATTTCAGCCTATATGTGTCATTTCTTTATCAAGTCTCTTGATTGAACGTATTATTATAATATTATGCGTGTGATGCGTACARTACAATGTATATAATATGTATACATCATGCAATATATCAGCAGARTTTTTTGAAACGTGATTGAGGAAAACAAAAACGGTTTCGCAATTAAATGAAATAAATAATAACTAACGAACGCGTAATGTCATATTATTATTATTTATTATCATTATATTATATATTTTACGTCTCCTCCGGTCAGACTGCAGGGGCCATAAGTTCTCGGTAACGTGAGCATCTCGCTTTGACGTACGTCGACGCATATTTATATAATAACTGTATGTTAAATTGCGCGTGTGTGTCACATATTATTATAATGTTATTTATTTGTGAGTTATCGTAGGAAATGACTTATGCGGGATTCGCGTATATTATCTGAGATTTTTTTTTGTATTCAAATCATCGCACGATTTGGTATCTCACATGGCCCGTCGTGTGTTTATAGCATTACACCTACTTGCATTCAGATCACGCGTTGTKTTTCCTATTGTGTTTCATATAGCGTGGAGGATAACTTGCGGGGCGTTAAAATTCCTAACTCAAAGCGTGGCGATGACAATGCCCGCGCCGAGAACATCCCGTGGGTATAATCACTATAATAATATTTCGTTTCGATGTTATTATATTGTATATAAATATTTTTTTTTGCGACCGCTTCTTAAGAATACTAATGTGCGTCGTCAACGGGCMGTCCGTGACGAAAACAGCTATAAACGTTGGTTTTAAAACRCCAAGTCAATTAAACTTGAAATATTAAGTAGGTACTATAATATTGTTTACGTCTTAAAAAGTATATTTTTTTGATTTTTAACGACGGAAGGAGTAGCTAATATAAAATATATATTTATCATGTACGTTTATATGACCGCAGGTGTATTTATGTCAAATAATTAATTTAGAAACGATAATATAAATGTTTATTTTATTACTAATTGTTTTATTATAAATTACAATACAGTATATACACACACGTAGATAAATAAGCGTGGAACGGATGTGATATATAAAGAATGACCGGCGTAGATAAAATGATGTCTAGTCATATAAATTTGATAATTTTCCATCTAGAGAAAGTGTGTTTATATTTTCACCACAGACGTGTGATGTCTCGAAGAGAAAATTCGGTCAATTACTAATTATTTTGTTATATATTTTCGGGGTAAAACGAAAGAAAAAAAATCGTATATTTATTTTTAAATATACGAACTCTCGTGTTGTGAAAGTGCAGCCGATCGACGAATCATTATACAGTTTGTGACAGCATATTACACTATGTAGACATTCACACGGCACATTTTAATACGGATTTAACTATGACCTTTGAACTGGATAGGTATACCTAATATTTTATTATTGTGACGGACTTTGGTTGCAACGGCGTCTCCTTGAATTAAGTACGCTCGTGCACGAGAGATCGACAGAATCGTATATAACCGCGCTTTTTCGGCTCGAACGCACATAATAATATAATATTCGACCTCAACCCAAATTTCACTGCGCGTTCTGTCCGGTATGTGAATATGYGATACATAATATATACACAGGTATCCACCGCAGCCTCTGATCGACGTGATCGTTACTMGCTCGGACCACAAATGAAACAATGATATATCAAYCTAAACGTATATAGGTACTATATAATGGGTAATGACGATCGACCTGCAGCCACTGCGCACTGAGGGTAGATTGGYCAAAGATCGTGTAAATAGGAATGAYACTGACGTGGTTGGAAACTTGTTGGTGTTGATGTAAGGGTGTACCTGATGGAAATTGCAACGTATATAATATATTATTGTACGGATATCGATCGCAATAAGAGCGCAATTATCATAGCTGAAGATAATAAAGCGTATTCGAATGTATTTGAGTGTCAAAATATTATATATAGTACGCTATAAATTTCAACTGATAAAATTGTTGTAGTGCAAATAATACTTTGTGGTATACTAATGTAAAATTGTAATGATATTAATATATAGATTCAAAACGAAAATAAACATTATGAACTCTTCTGCCGCAGACTGAGACTTCGATATATAATTATGTTACAAATAATAATACACAACATTGACCTGCAGGGCCTAACTGTCGACKGGGGCCGGCGATTGCGGAGACTGAAAAACGCGCGAAAATCACTGCCAAAACGGTATATATCTATTATATTTTTGTTTTACTTGGATTGAGTTCCGGTGACGCCGGTTAGGTGTTTCTACGACATATTTTAGTATAGKTATCGTTTTCCCTGTGCCACGAAAACCGCTAKTGTTCGAATATATTATATTTTAGGTGTACCTACATAATATATATTATATTATAGAATCGATAACGCGAAATACAACTAATGAGTAATATTATTACTACGAGAAGAAACTCAATAAATATAATATAAATAAACCGGCGGCGAAAACGGCGAACTATTAAAAAAAAAAATAAAAAATAAAAAATAGAGTCGAACGGCGCGCGATCGCACACACATACGCACAACCGGTTCGGCGGACTGACGAGACGAGTCTAAAAAATGGAGTAGGTACGCGTCAATACAGCGCGGTGTTGGCCGCCGTTGCGCTCGCCGAACCGTCGCCGCCGCCGCCGCCATCCCGTTAGACGTATCGCATATGAGTGTTATATACCATCAGATGGTCATTTTTCTGTTTAACGATATAGTTTTCCAGTTTTTTTTTTTTTTTTAATGCGTTTTCGTCACGATATTCGCGTTTTCTCGAACACAGGTTGTTTTATTTTTTTAAGCCTTTGATTCCGCCCACTCTGAGAAGCGGAACATACTATTTTTGCATACCAAATAATATATCGTGTACGGCGTGATTGGCAATACATTTTTCGTTTATAAATCGCCACGTTTTTCCTGSACGCGTTATTCCTATACGTCATAATGAGCAGTCCTCTGTACAATAATATAATATTAATTACAAAAACTAACGTGGTATTAATATTAGCTGGCAATTATAATGCTTTGATAAYATATATTTTGTGCGGAAACCGAATTTTTTAGATCATAATTACTTCAAAAACCTTAATAGTTGCTTGAAACGAGGAAATAAATTTTGTTGCCAACATAATATTGTATCAAATAATTGCAGTCTTGGTATACGGAGGGGAGGGGGATATGCGAAACGTATAGTATAGTTGTTTAAAAGCGCRAAGAATTCTGTACTGTATCGTTATAGGTATACGTATAATAGGTATGTCATATTGTATAAACTATAGGTATCATTATACCRTTAAATTTCACCGGAATGGACCAAAATCATTTGTTTTTGAACCAGAATAAATMTATTTTGTTTTCGGCAGTATCTTTTGATTTACCACTCGCCATAAGTAATATCATTCGTATATGTATATACGAACATAATATATTATCTAAGGTTC